ATCAGGAGGGATCAGTCCCTGGAGAAGGACATCATGCTTGGTAAAATAGAGGATCAGCAAAAAAGAGGAAGACGCTTAACAAGCTATATTGACAGAGTGGCTGCAATAATAGGCTCAAGCATAACAATGATTGTGCCAGGTGCACCTTAGTCCAATTATTAATGGATGTTTGCAGCTATTTCTTCTCATTTTAAGTTGTGCCACATCAGAAAATTAAGGTCCTGAAACTGTTACTCCATCTACATCATTAAGGTCAACTCTACTTTGAGGAGGCAGCTCCTCCCCAGTAGTATTTTGAGTGCCTTCCAACCTGAGGGGCTCATCTTCCAGCACTATTATCAGGTAATATTCCGCTGCTATTCATAAAGTTTTCACTGTCCAACTTTTTAGAAGTAGATTTCCAATTCCTTCTTCCTTGTCTGTCTTAGTCTAGAAGCTCTGCTGAAACCTGTCTACCATGGGTGACCCTGCCGATATTTGAAACACTGGTGGCATAGCTTCCAGAATCACAGCAGCACACAAGTCACCACAGTGGCTGACAGATGAGTAGCAGTCCTATGTGATAGGAAATATTTACTTGTCTGAGCCCAGACAGTTTGCTCTTCCTTACCCAAGAATAAAAGGTTTTTTCATTTTTTTCCTCTAATAGTAGTGAGTCTTTACTTGTGCCCTGCGGGTGACAAGATTTGGAGCCTTTCTTCTAACAGTTTAAAACTTTTTTTGTTCCTTGGGGAGAAGGGGCCAGAAAGGGTTTTAGTCTTTTCCTATACTGGCAACTGCTCTCCTACTCCAATCCTGCACCAATAAAGACTGCTATCTTCCATCTCCCACCCTACCCGAATTCTTTCTCATAAGCACCTAGTAAGGTCCATGGAGTACAGACTGCAGGAGAGGGTATACTTCTTGTGTGTGTGGCTCCAAGGGTTCTGTGGTCTCCCATTAGCCCACATTTGGTCGTTATCAATTTTTCTTCTTTTTTTTTTACCTAAATTCCTCATATCTGCTTGTATGGTGTCTGGTATCTCTTTTCTCCATGTTCTACCAAAGGTACAACAGTTCTTGCATTCTGTCTCTTCTTGTAGATGCCTGTTTTTCCTTAGATTTCACGCTAATCAGTTGTCTTATGACCTAAACTTTCTGACTGTGCTCAAGAATACTTACAGTTTTGTAGATTATCTGATTTTTTCTTATTATTAGGGTAGTGGTAACAGTCTTTCTAGCTTTCTGCACTCTAGGCAGATTCCAGATGTTTTAAATCATGCAACTCCTCAAATAAGTATTTTTGAGTAACTTTTCCTTAATATTTCTATATTCTTAATGATAGATTATATACTTGTACTTCTGTACAAATATATAAATTATAAAACATACTCAAAAATAAAAACAAAAATGGATGAGATAGATGTGTGGTTTAAAATTGGCAACATAAAATCAACATTCTCCATTTCTTCTCTTTGGAAATTAGTCAGATGCAGCAAGGAGAAATGTGGTCTGCTGTGTTTAAAGGCCAAATTGTGACCAACATGACTACTGCCAATAGTCACTACACATCCTTTGCTGCTATTGCCAAAAAAATAAGAATGAAAAATTATAGTTTTTTCAACTATCTGTATGCCATTCATCTTTAGGAAGTGAATTTTTCCTTGCTTTTTTGGCTATATGCAGTCTCAAAGAAAGAAGTACTAAACAGATTATCACATAGATAAGCCACGTTTGCAGAAAACTGTTTCTGTAACAGCAGAGAAAAAGGAAGCCTTTCAATTGTGAAAACAATCCAGCCTTAAAATACTACCTTGAACTTCCCCAGATAGCCTCTAACTGTTCCAAGGAAAACCAATCTACTTCCATGATGAGTAATAAAAAGTGAATTAGCACAGGACATATGTAAAGATATTATGAGAAAAAGGCAGACAAGAAAGAGCAAAATCAAATAGCAGATGAAAAACTCTCCAAGTGCAGGTGAAAATGGGGACTAAACATGTGCCATGGCTTTTAAAAACTTACTGAAACAAAATCAAAAAGTAGAAATGCAAGAATCAGAGCAGAGATGGCAAAATGTGAAATGGAAGAACTCTGGAAACTCACAGAATTAAAAAGTAAAATTTTAGAGAGAAAAATAATAGAAATACAGCAGAGGTAAAGAAAATACAACATATGCATAATTGGAATGCCTGAAGAAAATTGCTGAAATTATTTTCCATGGGTTGAAAATATAAAGATGAAAATTTACATAAAAATATAAATTGAGAAAATGTGCCTGAATTAATCAGAATATTTTAATACACACATTAAAAAAGTAAAAGATTAAAAGCCACATTGTGTGATAGGAAAATAGAACCAGAATGATCATCGCTAAGTTTGGCCTAATAAAACACAGTAAAATTATTTGACTTCAAAGATGAAGAAATCATTCTTTGGGTAGCCTGGCCAAAAATATCATCACCGTAAGTGGGGAAAACTCAAGATGCTCTCAGACTTCTCTACAGCAGCACTCAATAGCAAAAGAGAGTAGAGCCCTACTTATAAAATATTTATGGAGAGAAAATATAATTCAGGGATTCTATATCCAGCCAAATGGTCATTCAAGCAAAGAGGAAACAGATAAGCAGTTGAAAACATACTATATTCTCAGTGATTATTATTTACATAAGACTTTCTTGAAAAAAAAAAAAAAAAAAAGCACTAAAGAACAGATTTTGTCCAGCATGTGAAGACTGGAAGCACTAAGGCACAAATGGGCATAGAATATATTTAACCATAGAACTAAAAATAAAACAAAAGCAACTATGGAGATTAGAATAACAGAAAAGAAAGCAAATATATGCTCTAACGATGCAGAAATTATATGGCTAATGAAATCTGGGAAAATATGAGGGGAACAAGGTCGAAGGAAGAGTTAAGTATGCTGGTCTTTTCAATTACAATTACTGATCAAAACATAAAATGTAAAGCTGATAAATAAAATATTCAAATATTTAACAGCACAAATGTTAACCCGAAGGAAATTAAAGAAGTGACTAAAACTGGATCATGGAGAAGAAACACAAGATAAGAGAGAGGCTGAAGAAATACCATAATTTTTTCATTGTAAAGAATAATAGATCCTGGATTAAAAATATATACATTACACTGAAGGTACTACAAAAGGTTAGAGTTATAAAGGTAATCTCTAGAAGGAAATAATGCAAACCTTCCTAAATGTCACAAAAACCACACATACCCATGCACACACATACACATAGTGGACAATTCTTTAAAAGCTTTAAACATGGAACATGCAATACAAAATAATATGACAGAACCAGCAGCAAATATATTTGTAATTAAATGTAAATATAAAACTGAATTATTGGCTTTTAAAAAAATAAGACTTTTGGATTGGATCACGTATCAATATCCAATTCCATTTTCTATACAGGAGACACACCTAAAACTAAGTATTCAGAAAGGCTGAAAATAAAAACATGTGCAAAGATATACCAAGCAATTGTAAATATCAGACAAGGTTGAATTCAGGCCAAAAAAATTCATTGAACTAGACAATGCTAAAATATGCAATTCACCAAAACCAAATTAAAAGAATTTAGTGACCAACTAGGGTTTATTCAGAGTGGCCCTCTATCCCAGTTTGCCATGGATCGTCTCAGTTTAAGTCTGTTGCTCTGGTTTAATTATTTATAGAACCTTCTTTTATACTTAAAATATCTGGGTTTAGATGACAAATTATATGCTTATGGAAAGTTTATTCCAGGAATGCAAAGATGCGTATCAAGAAATATCTAAACATAAACGCAGTGAGTTGCAGCATTATGCCATCTGCCTTATAATACTGCATATCTCATATAGTGTTATATCCTTTTATAAGCTCTTATAAGACTTTGCTCTTTCAGAGTTTACTTCCTTTGGATCACTGATCACAGCTATGACATGTGTTCCTTTCACAGGTTCCCCTGAAAGGCTTTCTGGAAGATTTAGGCAGACTGCAAAAGAAGTTTTATGCCAAAGACGAACGTTTACTTTGCCCTATCAGGACCTACTTGGTGACAGCCAGGAGTGCAGCCAGTTCAGGCGCTCGTGTGTTGAAAACCCTTCGCCGCTGGGGTCTAGAGATAGATGAAGCTCTCTTCCTTGCTGGAGCCCCCAAAGGTCCCATCTTGGTGAAAATCCGACCCCACATCTTCTTTGACGACCAGATGTTCCACAATGAAGGGGCACAGAAATTCGGCACCATCACAGCTCATGTACCTTATGGCATTAGTCAAAAAATCAACTCCTAGGGATGGGGAGGTGAAATAAAGCACTGACAGTCTGGTATTACAGAAGCCACTCCTTTTGATCTCTAGGATAGATTAGATGAGTATTTCAGAAGACTGGACCTCAGGACACAGCCCACTTGGAAATATTTTCTCTTGATTTTTTTTAACATTTTGAACCCTCAGTTACCTGCCAGCCGCTTCTCTTTGAGCCATCAATGCTGTTGAGTGTCACTGCACCTTTCTTAGTGTAAGTTATAATAATGACTCCTTTGACTAAATTTAGAAATTGAATGCTTGAATGTTTAAGGGACTGTTTCAGAAGCCTACGTAATTTTTCAAAGCATTGCTCAGTTTTGGATGTTGATAGGATGGGATAAATTTTTACTCATCATCATGCTAGAATAGTGGTCTCCAAAGGTGGAAGGAGAGATTGTCTTAAAAATTAGAGATTTTTATTCTGTAGTCTCTAAGATCAGACTTTTTATCAATGCAAAATGAGAATGTTACTCTACCTGCATGAGTATACTAATTTTAACACTGTATATTCAGAAATAAAGCAGTTGTTTGTGCATACAGAGTACTTTCCACCGAAGATGGGCTCTAGGTAGAATCTCCACACTCCACAGAGCTTCATATTTGAAATCTCTGATTCCGGGCCAAGCAGGTGGGCCCAATGTTTATACAGAAAAAAAGCCTTGGTCACCACTTCAAAGTGTGACATGAAGTGAACATCCTGGCCCCTCATTGTTGCCATTCTGTTTTAATGGATTTTTTTGTTTGTTTGTTTTGAACAAACATTGGTTGGCTATCATCATAATCTACCACGTTAGGTACAGTGGGCTGGTTATTTTCACGTATCTTCATTTTATCGTCAAACCAAACTTTTGTGACATAGTATTATTTATTGCCCTCCATTTATCAATGGGGAACCTAAGATTCAAAAAGATTAGGTAGCTTGTCCAAGAATGGGCAGTTAATAAATGGCAGGGCTAAGATTCAAGGTCTTGTTTACTTCAAAAGCTATATGCTGTCTTTCCTCTGTGTTATACTACCTCTAAATCAAGTTATTCACATTAAATAAACGGCCTTAGACCATCCTGAACAGATTAGTTGTTCTGTTACGTTCCATGCTTCACACTGAATAGGAGCTTCATACTGGGGATAGAGTGGAGCAAAAGCCCAACTATCATTCACATTCCTCATGCCCTCTCTAGTCATCAGTGATAATGCTTTTTCCCACCTCAGAACGCCATTTTTAAGCACCCTTAAGGAATTTTCTCCTGGCATCTAGCCCTTTTTTCTCCATATTTTGAATATTAGTTACATGCCACATCATTCTTAAATGGAAGGAAGCCTTATCAAAATCATCTAGGGAACTTATTTCAAACTTCACAAGTCATGCCTCTCTCCCTTCATCCTGGGGAGTCTGGAATTACCAGACAGTGAGCACCCTGAGGGCAGGAATGGTGTCCTGTTTCTTTGTGGCTCTCACAGGGTCTGGCACATGGTAAAGGATTGGTGCATGTTTGCTGGATGGGTGAGTAGCCGAATGAATGATGTGTGAAAATTAGCCTGGTCTAAAGCTATGTTTTCAGCTTGAAGATGCATCCCTGTGGCAATAACCCCTGACATTTACGAAGTATTTTACAGTTTACAACATACTTTCCCATCCATTATTACATTTAATCGTCCGATGGGGTACAGGGGATGGCATTTGTGAATGGTAGAGCCCAAGCCTGTGACTGATAAGAAGGCTGTGTTTACACTAAGTCCAAGCTTTTCCCACTGTACTTCAGCCAGTGTCAAATAAGACCATTTGAGTATAGCTTTTTCTATGGGGACCAATGTTTTAACGGTCTTTTTCAATGGTTCTCAAAGTGTCTTCCCCGTATTAGCAGCATCAACATTACCCGGGAACTTCTTAGAAATGCAAATTCTCAGGTCCCATCCTGTACCTACTTAATTAAAAACTGTGGCACTGGACCAGACATTTCTGTAGTCTACAAGCCATCCAGGTGATTCTGATGCAGGCTAAAGTTTGAGAAACACTGCCCACGCCATTTCTAGCTGACTCATGTTGCAAAGTGCTTAGCCTCCTCTGTGGAAAAAAAAAAAAAAAGAGCCCTTCCAGACTTCAGTTGGGCAGGGACCCTTCTCAAGTGGGTGAAAGTAAACTGAAGTGATGATTTACAAGTCCCAGGAACTCTTAAAGGAAAACAACTAAGCCAGCCCTGAAAACAGACCTATAAAGAGATTTGTAAATCGAAAGTACTCACTAGGCATTCCCACGGGGAAAGCCACCACAACTATGGAACTTCAATTGGTAGATGAATTCCAGTCGCCCGAAAACTCAGGTTTCGGGCTCAGCCTCCATCATTAGGCTAGGGGTAGACTATACTGAGGAAACCACTACCCGGAGCGCTGTACTCGCCTAACCAATCAAAACAGATGCTTTAGAAAGGGAAACTACGAGTCCCAGCAGGCCCCACGTCGCACCAACCGGGACGACTGGCCGCGCCTCAGAGTTCCTCGCGTACAGGTGGTAGCCTCAGTTTAGGGAAATCGGCATCTCCGGGAGTCCGGCACAGAGGCTGGTGGGCCCGCGGAGCCTAGGCGGCTATGGCAGTGGCCACAGTGGCGGCCCTACTCGCCGCACTGGCTGGTGGGCTGTGGCTGGCGGCCCGGCGGTTCGTGGGTTCCAGGGTCCAGCGGTTTCACGGCGGCAAGGACTGCGGCCTCATGCACGGGAAGACCGTGCTGATCACAGGGGCGAACAGCGGCCTAGGCCGCGCCACCGCCGCCGAGCTGCTGCGTCTGGGGGCGCGGGTGATCATGGGCTGCCGCGACCGCGCGCGCGCCGAAGAGGCGGCGGGTCAGCTCCGCCGTGAGCTCAGTCTGGCGGAGGGCCCCAGGCCAGACGCCGACGCCGGCGTGGCCGGGGAGCTCGTCGTCAAGGAGCTGGATCTCGCCTCCCTGCGCTCGGTGCGCGCCTTCTGTCAGGAGCTGCTCCAGGTGTGGGTTCGGGGAGCCGAGCTGGAGAGGATGGGAAAGAAGGAAAGCGGAAGGGCCGTCTGCTGGGCCTCGGCGGGATAGAGCTGGGAAGGGGCGGCCCCAGAGAGGCCGGGGTGGGACCTTGGAAATGACCGAGCCTGCTAGTAGAAACACAAAAGCAAGTGACTTGAAGGCGCCTTTGGAGTTGCAGCCCTGGGAAATAAACAGAACTCAGAGGGCCTTCTCCCGTCTTATAAGGACGTTGATAAAAAATGGTCCCAAGAGGAAAATAATAAGCCAGTTTCTGAAGTATTTTTTATTTTGAGGGGACGGCCCAGGAGTAGATCCACCAGGTCTCTGAATTGTAATTCCTGTGTCAGAAGTTAGTCTGCATTAAGCCATCTCTTCTTTCACACAGCCTGTGAGCATTTGGGGAAGTTGCTAGCCCAGGATCTGGGGAGGGAGCAGTCCGTTTTTTTGTTGTTGCTGGGGTAGGGAGTTCAGCTGGATGCCACCAGTGGACTCAAGAACACCATTCTTAATCAGATCCTGGCTGGTTTCCGAGAGAATGGAGCTTGAAATTCCAGTGGTTATATTGTAAACTGGGACAGGGATAAAAATAATATCTAGCATTTATTGAAGGTTTATTATGTGCCAGGGCCTGAGCCAAATATACAGATATTTTAAATGAAATTAAAGTGCCCTTGACTGCTATTATCATCAAATCCCCACAGTAACCCTCTGAGGTAGGAATTAATATCCCCATTTTACAGCATGAGGAAACTGAGGCATAGGTAGACTAAGTAACTTGCCGGTAGTCTTCTCCAAAGCCTTTGCTCTTAACCCTTACTCTATACTCCTGCTGCCTGGCAGTGAGGTAGGAGGACTTCTTTGTACAGATAGTACAAAGTTCACTGACCTGGATGCCCTCTGTTGAGATTGAGGTGGGAGGGCTTCTTGCAAGAGGGCATTCAGAAGAGTGAGATTTAAAACTTGCTGACATCAGAAAAGTGCCTATAGGAAATGGAGTCTCTTGACTCTAGAGGTTCCCAAACTTTCTCAGTTTAGGGTACCCTTACCAAAACCAAACCAAAGCCATTGCCATCAAGTCGATTCCAACTCATAGTGATTCTGTAGGACAGAGTAGAACTGCCACATAGGGTTTCCAAGGCTGTAAATCTTTTAAGGGAGCAGGCTGCCACATCTTTTCTCCCACAGGGCAGCTGATTGGTTTGAACCACTGACTTTTCGGTTAGCAGCCAAGTACTTAACCATTGCACCACCAGGGCTCCTCTCGGGCACCTTTAGTGATCAGTAATTTTTTTCATTTTGCCATTAGGACAAAAGAAATATCTAGCAGTTCGTTTATTAAGTAGTTAGTTCCAAACAACCATCTAAGTATTTATATCCTAACAACTTAGTAGCTGTTTGAAAAAATAATATACCTAATTGAAAAAAAAATGGTATGTCATTGTTAAATATCCATAATTACCTGCTAATGGGATGTATGTACCTGTTAGTCAGTCACTGTGCCAACTTCTCAAACTTTGGAATCGGATGGCACACTGCCACCCTTATTTCCTGTCCCACATTGATTTTTAGCATGGCACTTGTTTTTTGTTATAGCCACTGCTGAAACTCAGCTCCCCAAGGATGTGACATCACCAGAGGGAACATAGCACAAACTAATGTAGCTGTGAACTACCTGGAGTTAGTAGTTTTTGTGGTGTCGAGCAGGATGTCACTGTGTTTCCCTTGAAAATTTAAAATATCCAACAGCACTCTGGGAGTGGGGACACTTGGTGTACAGTTTGGGAGCTGCAGTGGTTTTTTTTGTTTGTTTTTTTTTTACTGCTGGTATTTCACTATGTAGAACAGAGATTAAGAAAATAAGAAATGCTAATGTATAAGAGATGTTGGATGCATTAGGTTTTCCTATTTTCATTAAAACGGGGCTGTACCTGCTTCCTATTAGTGATACCTGTACTACTTTAAGGAGCCCTAGTGGCGCAACAGTTAAGTGCTAAGCTGCTAACTGAAAGGTTGGCGGTTCAAACCCACCCAGTGGCTCCGAGGGAGAAGGACTTGGCAGTCTGTCCCTGTAAAGATTGCAGCTAGGAAACCCTATGGGGCAGTTTTACTCTGTCACATGGGATGACTATGAATCGAAATCGACTTGATGGCACCTAACATCAGCAACAACAACATACTACTTTGGCCACATGGGACAGAACCAATTATATAAGGAGACAACTAAGTTGTCTTCTGAGTTTTTTGTGAGTTCCTACCTCGCTCTGAAGTTTGGTAACTATAACCAGAAAGGAAGAAAAAAAAGGAAATGTAGATTTCCCACAGCTTGGCATTTTTGGTATTTATGCCATTTATCTCCTAGAATTTTTAAAAATTGTAAATGATAAAGTCTTAAAATAACACAAGTCCAGCAAAGAATGATGGTTCAGAAATGATTGATTCAGGAAACCCGTCCAAAGGATTAGTGAAAAAGAACACTCCTTTCTTTCCCCCACGGGTGAACTCTTGCCTTTTTTTGAAGTTGACTATTGGAAAAGCTACAGGTGCTTAGACAGACAGAATGAGAAACAGTTAATCCTCTGACAGGTAGGCTTTGATAACTGTTGTGAGATTTAACACATTTTTCTTTTCATTTGTAGTTGGCAGATGGGCCAGTGAAATTTGAAATTTGACCTCAAATTAATTTGATCATGGGTCATCACTGTGTCTTCACACCTGGAACATGTTGTGCATTTCTCTTTCTCTGTCCATCAAGAGAGACATAGAGGAGCCAGGAAGGGGCTAAAGAAGGCCAATCTCCATGATTTATGGGATGTAAAGACTTTAGGACAGTCTAAATTTTAGTACGCTGATCTGGAAAGGTGTAAGGGGATATGGTCGAAGTACAAAATTCTCTACAGATCTCTTAAGCAGGAGGCCCCTTGAAGCCGGAAAGAGGTTCCTTTTGTATAGGGAGAAAAAGGACTGTGAACTCTAGAGGCAAGATAGAGGTTAAAGGTGTTTGTTGATAATCCCACCTCCATCCCTGTTAGCCTCGTTTGCTGTTATTGTGAGACATAGTATATGTGATCTACTGGGTTATTTCTGATATTTTTATATTACCTATTTAGAAATTTTTTTAAGCTTTCTTTGAATTATTCATGATGTTCTCTTCAAGGGTTTGCATCCCTGACCTTCTCTATTGCTTGCTCCTGTTTGAAGGAAATGACTTGAACAGGCTCCATCCCCATGGTGGTATTTATCCTCAGAGAACAACAGAATAAAGCATTCTTAACTTTGTCCCTAGTGTTGGTACTAGTAGTTCTGGAAATAAACAGTGCTGACCTGCAGGGCCTATCTATGGAAAATAGCACCTATGGCAACTAGTTTTAAATTGCTGAATGATCTCTTTCAGCTGGTGATGGAAACTGTGATGGCCAGTAGAAACTGCTCATTGTCACCCCTCCTCAAGTGGTGCCAAGGGCACGCAGCCTACTTGCCATGCCTTAGTTACACCTCTGTGACCTGCCTTCTGTATATCGACTCTAGCTCATGGGACTCTCTAGCAGTCATTTGAAAATCCCGATTAGAGAGGTAGAGTGGTTTACTGATTAAAAGAAGGAGCATTAGTATACAAATTTCATCTTCAGAACTTTGTTTTGCCACTTACGACCTCTGTGACACTGGGCAAGCCACCTAACTTCTATGCTTCGGTTTTCTTGTAGGGTTGTTGGGAGTAGTAAATGAGATAACATGCAAAAAGCACTTAGCGCAAGGCCAGGCAATTTTTTTTTCCATTTTTTTCAATTGTTGAAAACTCATAGAGACATTTAATAGAATTTCAGTAGCTTGCTAGAATATTTTTCTAATTTTACCACAAATGCATTTATTGTGATCTTCTTATGATCTGAGTATTTACGTGATAATTCCCAAATTGATATTTTCATAGTTCACCTGAATTTAAGAGGAGAAACCTAGAACTAGAGGAGTGGCCCTTCCCCAAATTAACTGTACTTCTGTTTTAGAAAGACCTTGGTACTGATCAGATACTTAGTCAACTTTCCGGTAAAATAATTATCAAAATATATGTAACTATTTTTAAGTTATACAAGCATAAGATCAGAAAGTCTTAGATTCAGTATCTAAGTCTTCTACTGCAAGATTGCTGTGGATAAATATCTTTCTGCATATAATTTTAATAAATGAGAAAAAGAGGCTGTTGAGTAAATAGTCATGAATATCATGAATATTAGTATTTGTTTCAGGAACGGCTTGCAAAGGAACCCCTACCCGCGCTCATTAAAAACAAAATTGCTAGTGTTCCAAATAGTTCTGATTCATAAGCTAACAACCGAAATTGAAAACTGTTAGTCTCTAGTCCCTTTTTTTATTAAAACTTATTATGAACAGAACAAGCAGCTAAAGGCCTGTGTTCATAATTTTACTACTCTCTCTTTGACATTTAAAGGAAGAGCCTAGGCTGGATGTCTTGATCAATAATGCAGGGATCTTCCAGTGCCCTTACACGAAGACCGAAGATGGATTTGAGATGCAGTTTGGAGTGAACCATCTCGGGCACTTCCTACTCACCAATCTTCTTCTTGGACTTCTCAAAAGTTCAGCTCCCAGCAGGATTGTGGTAGTGTCTTCCAAACTTTATAAACATGGAGACATCAACTTTGAAGACTTGAACTGTGAACAAAGCTATAATAAAAGCTTTTGTTATAGTCGGAGCAAATTAGCTAACATTCTTTTTACCAGAGAACTAGCCCGCCGCTTAGAAGGCACAAACGTTACTGTAAATGTGCTACATCCTGGTATTGTGCGAACTAATCTGGGGAGGCACATAAATATTCCACTGCTGGTCAAACCATTGTTCAATTTGGTGTCATGGGCTTTTTTCAAAACTCCATTAGAAGGTGCCCAGACTTCTATTTATTTAGCCTGTTCACCCGAAGTAGAAGGTGTTTCAGGAAAGTACTTTGGGGACTGTAAAGAGGAAGAACTATTGCCCAAAGCTATGGATGAGTCTGTTGCAAGAAAACTCTGGGATATCAGTGAAGTGATGGTTGGCATATTAAAATAGAGACAGGAAGTAAAGGAGAGCTTTTTATAAAAACTATGTCAGTTGTATCCATGACCAGGAGTGGTGTGGCTTGATCACTTGCTACTTGAAAAAACAATTTCAGTTTTACAATAATACTGCTAAGAGGTACATGTGGATGTTCTGAAGTGACTGAACAATTATTATTTCAGAGGACAAAATTTCATCAAACACGTCTTACAGTATAATGAATAATACAATTATAGTATATTTTTAAAATTATAATTGGGTAAGCATGGATTACAAATATAGGAAATTTAGTAACTGAAAAGTGATACCTTGAGAAGTTTTTGACAGATCTTTGAGTTTCATGGCCAAAATGTTAAATATTGTTGCTATACTGCTGATTTTTGTGTGGAAATAATATACCTAGTGTGTGCACACAATTCTTATGTGGAATAAATTTGCTGGTACATATTCTTAACTGTATATTTCTTTATAAGTTACACTGAATGTGGTCTTCATCTCATCATCATTAGCCTCCACTGATCTTGGTAACTCCAGTCTCCTCACATATCTTGGATACTGTTTTGGGAGGTAATATATCTAAAGCCCAAATCTGATTGTGTCATTTCCCTGCTTAAAAAATTTGGTGGTTTCCCTGGAGGACATTATGCTGAGTGAAATAAGTCAATCACAAAAGGACAAATATTGTATGAGACTTCTATTGTAAAAACCCATGAAAAAGTTCACACACAAAATGTAACAATCTTTGTTGGTTGCCAGGGATGGGGGTGGGGGGGAATACTAAATAGGCAATAGATAAGTGGTATCTTGGGTGAAAGGTGAGACAGTACACAATACAGGGGAAACTAGCACAACTTGTACAAGGAAAGGTCATGGAAGCCCCATAGACACATCCAAACACCCTGAGAGACTGAATTGCTGGGTGGAGGGCTGCGGGGACCATGGTCTTGGGGAACATGTAGCTCAATTGGCATGACATAGTTTATAAAGACAATGTTCTACATTCTGCCTTGGTGAGTAGTGTCTGGGGTCTTAAAAAGCCTGTGAGCGGCCATCTAAGATACTCCACTGGTCTCATCCCTTCGGGAGCAAGGGAGAATGAAGAGAACAGGATAAAAGGAAAAGATTAGTCCAAAGGACTAATGGTCCATGGCTACCAAGGCCTCCACCAGACTGAGTCCAGTACAGCTGGATGGTGCCCAGCTACCACCACTGACTGCTCTGGCCAGGATCACAACAGAGGGTTCTGGGCAGAACTGGAGAAGGATGTAGAACAAAATTCTAACTCACAAACAAAAGACCAGATTTACTGGCCTAAAGGAGACTGGAGAAACCCCCGAGAGTATGGCCCCCAGACACGCTCTTAGCTCAGTGGTGAAGTTATCTCCGAGGTTCACCGTTCAGCCTGGGAGTGGACAGCCCTGTAAAACCAAATGGGACTAATGAGGTATAGTAGTCCAGTGACAAGGGCCAGAAGGCAGAAGGGGACCCAAGGAAGCTGGTGATAGGGAACCCAAGGTTGAGTAAGGATATTGTTGATGTGTTGTGAGATTGTTAACCATTGTCATAGGGCAATATGTGTAGTAACTGTTAAATGAGAAACTATTTTGCTCTGTAAGCCTTCATCTTAAGTGAGAATAGCAGCACAATTGGAAGAGCATAGTCAGTGTCACTGAACTGTGTGTGTAGAAATTTTTGAAATGGTGTATCTTTGGCTATGTGTATTTTCACTAAAAAAAAAGGTTGAGAAGTTAGAGGGTTGACATGTTGTGGGGTTGTTAAACCAATGTCATAAAACAATATGTGTACTACTGTTTCATGAGAAACTGTTCTGTAAGCCTTCCCGAGTACAGTAAAAAAAAAAAAAAAAAAAAAACCGCACACTTTAAAGCATAAAGAAAAAAAAAAACATTTGGTGGTTTCCAATTGTTCATACCAGAGGGTTCTTTCTTCAGATTAAGTCTTACTCCAATGTAAAAGCTGAATGAGTAAAACAAGTCATGGCAATGCTGTCGGGTTGGCATCCCCCAAGGCTGTTGTTGAAGGAACTTTGCAGAATAGTTTATAAACCACTTCTATTTAGATTAAAGGTTAAACTCCTATAAACATTTGAGACCACAGGCTTACCTTGCACTCTTGTATTCTGAGCTGTCCAATAGAACTTTCTGCAATGATGGAAATTATCTGTACTGACCAATATGGTAGACACTAGACACATGTGGTTAATGAGTACTTAAAATATGGCTAGTTCAACTGAGGAACTGAATTTCTAATTCTATTTAATGTTAATTTGAATTTAAATAGGCACATGTGGCTACTGGCTTGTATTTTGTACAGCACAGCTCTAGTCATTCCGTAATATAACCCGGTCTTCACTATAGACTAGTTGCCCACTCACTTACCTCTCTGGGCCTTTGCTTACATTGTTCTTTCAGTCTGGAATACCCTTCGTCCCTTCACTGGTACTACTTACCCTTTAAGGTTCCCCTCAAGTAACTTCTTTTCTCCAGTCCCTGTAGGCAGAACCAATTCTCTTTCCACTTTGTTTCTGTTGCTCTTGGCAGCTTTACTAGGAGTTTAGTGGACACGTTATTTGTTCAGAGGTTCAGTTAGACAATTAGAATAGGAATTCTTCAAGGAAAGGAAGTGTCTTATTTTCCTCCTAGAACCCAGTACCTGGCACACAATAAACATTCAATAAATAATGAATGAATACCAAAACCAACCAAACCAGTTGCCGTCGAGTCGATTCCAACTCATAGCAACCCTATAGGGCAGAGTAGAACTGCCCCATAGGGTTTCCAAGGAGCAGCTGGTGGATTTGAACTACTGACCTTTTGGTTAGCAGCCAAACTCCTAACCACTTCACCACCAGGACTCCAATGAATGAATAAGGTGCATTAAAATAATTGAGTCTAGATTTATTGTACGCATCTGTGTTATAGAATCAAAAGTACCTACTTGATACTGTTAATTATTTGTTTTAGCTATCGCCTAATTTTAGGAAAAGGAATTATGACAGTAAAGGATAGACTACACTAATTTTACTGACCATTTTGGTCAGGGCTAGTCCTTGATTGGTTATTATTTTTAAGACCATTTATAATATCTAATTCCAGTATTCGTTCTTTTCAGGAATGACAAGATCTTGGCAGATCATCCAGCAGGTCTGTTTTCTATTAGAGCATTAGGTTGTGAATAGAAGAAACACTTAAATGTTTGTATCATCACAGGTGTGTCACAGCAGGTGTAGTGGGTATAGCTGCATCATTTTCTTTGAAACATTTTTTTAAAAAGCAATTCTACACAGAGACCTGCTGAACTTAAGAAATATGAGCAGGAAATACACCAGAATGCAACTGGGAAAAATGGAAGCTAATAAATCTGTCCTACACCTCAACTTCATTAAAAAGGAGCTCTTTTTCTTTCTTTTTTTTTTTTCATTTAATATCATCTTTTCTGGCTGCATTTTGATACCTGATGCTTTTCTGGGGATTTTGGTCTTTTTTAAGAGTTGAGCCTTTGAGAGTACTTGTTTGTGGAACCATAATAAAATTGGATATATTAATTTATCATGATGAAAAATGAGAAACTCATCTAAAAACACCCACTATTAAGGTAAAATGAGCTGCCATTTGGAAGATGTCCTTCCCACCTGAGAGTTTTATGGAATTGAGAGAACTAATAGCTATACTGTGACGAGTTAGAGTTTAAAGATTGTTTAAACCTTTTTTCTCCCTCCCTTCTGCTGACACTTCTAACCATTTCTCAGTAAACAGCAACTCTGTTACTTTGATACCTACTCTCACCCTTAGCAAAATATTGTTAGAGGGAAACCTGTAATACACCAGATTATGGAATATTTGAGTTAAAAACCCATTTTCCCTGCTGGTTCTGGGCTTCATCATCTGAAAAACTGACTTCTTCTGAAGCAACATGTTCTGAGAAGGGGTGATATTGCTGGGCCCTCTGCCCCAACTTCACTCAGTAGCTATTTTATGTAGGGGGGTTCTAATTAACATTTGATTGGAAAGGGGTTTCGCTGCTGAAAAACACCACCACATCGGGTTTGCATAACAGCTCCACTACTTAACTCCCTATGTGTCCTTGGCAAGTTACTTAACCTCTCTGAGCTTCAGTTTTCTCATCTCTGTCATTGAGACATGAATGCCTACTTCAAAGGATTGCTCTGGGAATAAAAGTGACAGAGTAAGTAAAGTGTTTAGCAGAGTGCCTGGCACATATGGGCAGTCATCCATCCCCCCTTCCCTGATGCATCTAACCATTACTATTAATAGTAATAGTAATTAGTAATGGTTGTTGTTGTTGTCAGCTGCCATCAAGTTGGCTCCCAACTCATGGCGACCCCATGTGTTACAGAGTAGAACTGTTCCTAGGATTTTCTTGGCTGTAATCTTTACGGAAGCAGTTTGCCAGGCCTTCCTTCCATGGAGCCACTAGAGGGGTTCAAACCACCAACCGTTAGGTTAGCTGATTGCAAACCACTTGTTTGCTCCTTCATAATCGTTGGTGAGTACATAGGATGAAAACATAATTCTAAACTAGGGGTCAGCAAAATGTTTTGTCAACTACTGGATTGTAAATATTTAAGGTTTTGTGGGCCACATTGTCCCTTACTCTTTTTAATTAAATTTTTATTTTTAAAATTCTTTTAAAAAATGTAAAAACTGTCCTTATTCTTAGGTCATGCTATTGTATTTATACAACTAGTACAGTCTCCTAAGCCCAAGGCTAGTTGACAGCATCTGCTTTGTGACTAACTGGGAACAATGTACTTATTTGTTTGTCTTGAAGGCGCCATTCATAGTAGTAGTTCTTGTGTATTCTATACTATTTCTTAGTAAGTCTCCTGTTGTTTTTCTATATCATTTCTAATTTTGTATCTATGACTATTTGTTATAGATCCAGGAAACCTAGGGAGTGTATTTTTTTTTTTTTTTTTTTTAATCTATCTCCAGCTATAGATTTTGGTGTGAGGAATAGCAGTTCTCTGCCTTCAGCTCTTCCCCCCAACAAACCTGCTGGGCCTGGCGGGAGATCTGAAACAACCTAGATTTGAATATTTAATTCATTCCAAATGTCCTAAGAAACACTGAAGACAGAATATGTGAATATGTTACTAATCACCCTTCAGGAGCTTGGCCCCCACAGACAGCTTCAGATGTTTCCAAACCTTCTTTGGACAATGGGAAGTTAAATTAGTTACAGGTTAACATGGAGGAAGGTAGCTTATTCCTAGAGGAAAGTTAGAGGAGTGCTCTGTTTTTATACAGACAGAATGAGTTTTGCTAAGACTGACGTTTAATCAGAATACAGAAGAATAGCTCTTAACCAACCATCATCCAGCAGACATACTGTAATAACTGATTCTCTCTCCATTCTTTTTGTAAAACATACTGATACCATACCATGTGAATGCTCTAGACTGA